CGGAACGTATTTGAAGTGGGAGGAGAGGGGGGGGGGGGTGCACAGACGAATGGAGGCACCTTATCTGCTATATTAACCATTCAATTCAAAATTGAAACAGCGACTTTCATTGATAGTTATACACAAGTCTCTATTCTCCATTGAAAGGAGTAATTCGCTACCGGGTCAAAAGTGGGGGAACGTGTCCCCAGCGCCTACCCCGGCTCCGCCGCCTATGAATGCGAATGTCAGACAACAACTACACACACACACACACACACACACACACACACATATATATATATATATATATATATAGAAAGGGAATAACCCTATAGATAAACAAGTGGAGTGAGACATGTAAATAACACTCATGGGTCGGTATTCTATGGTAAACATAATTAATACACATCAGTTGATTAACACAAGCCCCCCTTTCAGAAAGACCGCTACTGTAGAATTGTTACATGAAGACTATGAGCTTAAAGTTAGTAAAGAGTTTTACACATTAACCTTCTTATATTTTTTTCTCCCCCATATTATATCAGCGAAACGTATCAGGTACGAATACCAGTTGTAACCACAATTTCCTGAAACTAATGTAAATAGTGTAAAGAATGAAACTGTGTCTATAATAACATGAGATGTTAAATTGAATTCAAGATAATTATTGAATGAAATAGTAATGCCTTTTTTGTTTTGTAGCATTTATCTATTATCTACACTCTCTAGAATCTAAAGCATTGCATCCACGTGGTACTTTATTCAGAACTTTTGAAGAAATAAACTTCACGTTTAAAAACAACTGTAATTTCAAGAATGGTCATGACGATGTGAAAACACCACCAAACGTTTTTCTTTGTTTCTTGTATTCGCGCAAGTCTACACAAGAACTATATGCGTTAGCCGTTCCTAATTTTGAACTGATAAAGTATAAAGAAGGCAGGTAGTCAGCAGCGCCAACTCTTGAGCTACTAAAATTGAATAGTAGAATTTCGTCGCCACACTTATGAATGTACGCATGATCCCGGAGTGCCATTATTGTTTGTTTGTTTGTTTGTAATTAAGCACAAAGCTACACAATGGGCTATCTGTGCTCTGCCCACCACGCTAAACACTGGGCCACGCCCAGTAACTACAAAAACGAAAATGAGAGTTTAAAACTAATGTAGTAATTTATTTTAATTCATCGGCTCTTCCCCAGATAAATATAAAAAAATAATACAGATTAATATTTTATATCTCTGTTGGTTCTTACGTTAGTATCAACATATTAATATGCACGATTTGAAAACTGAACAGCGCAAAATTCTCAAGCGAGTAACGTAGTGACTCAAGAATCAAATATTATATGCAGGGGCGGATTGGCATTAAAGGACCAGCCCGGGAAATATCACATGCTGCATACTGGCTATACAGTTAAAATTTAAAACCAAATTCTAAGAATGCGTCAAGTGCACCAGCCCACAGTGATTGTGTCGCTGCTTGTCTCTTTAGCGCTGCGTATCCACTGCTTGCGCCCACCCACATACCACACTCGCATTCATAAATCCATAAGCTCTTCTAATATTATGACATATTTTATTGAAACCAGAAACGACTCCTCACTGTACAGTGCCCCCTCGCGAGTCAGCGGTAATTACAGACTTGCAACGCTAAAATCCGGGGTTCAATTCCTCGCGGTGGAAATAGTAGGAAGCCCAATGTGGTTTTAACCTAAACCCCCCCCCCCCCCGCCACTGGACAAACGTAAAGGTGAAATTACTGACGACATAAGATGCGCTTTGATTCCTATACAAAATTATTCAAAAACGGATCACCTGATGTTTATTTATTTCAAGGGTTTGTTACAAATTCTTTAAGCGCTTTCAAAATAATTTTTCGTTTTGTTATGATAAACGATACAAAATATTATTAACGAAAAAAAAAATCCAATAAACCTTTTTCATAATACTTATTTTTCGACTCACAATCAGAGGGTCGCGGGTTCGAATCCCCGTCACACCAAACATGCCCGCCCTTTCAGCCGTGGAGGTGTTATAATGTGACGGTCAATCCTACTATTGGTAAAAGAGTAGCCCAAGAGTTGGTGATGGGTGGTGATGACTAGCTGCCTTCCCTCTAGTCTTACACTGCTAAACTAGGAACGGCTAGCGCAGATAGCCCTCGTGCAGCTTTGCGCGAAATTAAAAAAACAAAACTCTTTCGCGTAAAGCTACACGAGAGCTATCTGCGCTAGCCGTTCCTAGTTTAGCAACGATGGAGGGAAATCACCTAATCAACACCACCCACCACCAACTCTTGGCTTACTCTTTTACCAACGAATAGTAGGATTGACAGTTACTATATAACGCCTCCACGGCTGAAAGGACGAGCTTTTTCGGTACGACGGAAATTCGAACACGCAGGTTGCGAGTCTCGTGCCCTAACCACCAGGCCATGCCAGGCCTCCCTCTTCAACGTACGGAAACAACGCTAGAAAAAATGTTTATTTATTTCTGTAAGCAAACTTTTCGACATAATTTACGGACACCTAGCGTATGTTAATAAAATAATTATGTCTCGAAAAGCAAAACCTATCCATCAGTGGCACAGCGGTATGTCTGCGGACTTACAACGCTAGAAACCGGGTTTCGATACCCGTGGTGGGCATAACACAGATAGCCCACTGTGGAGCTTTGTGCTTAACTTCAAACAAAACCTAAAACATCAATATTTAACCTCCGACTTCCAGTTTTCTGCTCTATATAACGAGTACTGCACGAATTTATCGTTATTGGACAATATACATATATATATATATATATATACGCCATTTTAAAAGTAGAATAATCTACAACTGTGTGCACAACGCCACAGTAAAATCAAAAGAATTAGGCACCGTGTGTATTATCCAATAGAAACCCAAATACATCAAAAACTATCTATGTCATACTATTGCTAAACCAGAAACAGCAGATAGACGTATACTGTAACACCACAAAACCAGAAACAGCAGAAACTATGTGTTCTACACTATATCCTGTACAACCAGGAGCACCAGTACTGTGTTCTACACTATATCCTGTATAACCAGAAGCATGATTACTGTGTACTACACTACATCCTGTACAGCCAGGGGCATCGGTACTGTGTTCTACATTACATCCTGTACAACCAAGAGCACCAGTACTGTGTTCTACATTACATCCTGTACAACCAGGAACACCAGTACTGTGTTCTACACTATATCCTGTATAACCAGAAGCATCATTACTGTGTTCTACATTACATCCTGTACAACCAGGAGCACCAGTACTGTGTTCTACATTACATCCTGTACAACCAGGAGCACCAGTACTGTGTTCTACACTATATCCTGTATAACCAGAAGCATCATTACTGTGTACTACGCTACATCCTGTACAACCAGGGGCATCATTACTGTGTACTACGCTATATCCTGTACACCCAGAAGCACCAGTACTGTGTACTACGCTACATCCTGTACAACCAGGGGCACCAGTACTGTGTACTACGCTATATCCTGTACAACCAGGGGCATCATTACTGTGCACTACGCTACATCCTGTACAACCAGAAGCACCAGTACTGTGTATAAGCTACATCCTGTACAACCAGAAGCATCAGCACTGTGTTCTACATTACATCCCGTACAACCAGAAGCATCAGTACTGTGTTTTACATTACATCCCGTACAACCAGAAGCATTAGTCCTGTGTACGATACTTTATCTTGTAAAAACAGGAACATAAGTACTATGTACTATACTATATACTGTAAAAACAGGAACATAAGTACTATGTACTATACTATATACTGTAAAAACATAAGTATCACACATAACACGAGCATGATACTACTGTAAAATCAGAGGCCTCCGATTCTGTGTACTACACTATTTCAAAACCTGAAACTTTTCCCCTATTCAAAAAAATATTTCCACTTTTACTTTGAACTGTTCTGTAGTCTAACATTGTTTGTTACGTTGCTCATTTGATATTTACTACTAAGTTACATTACATACTCCAGTCATCCAGCAAAGATTAAAATACAGTGGATTGTATTCTGAAAACTTAAAAGTGAAAGTAAAGAACAACGTACAAAAATATGTCTACCACACTATCTAGTACGACGAGGCCTTTCGTTCAATACTAGGTCTCATCACGCTGGAACACAAAAGACAGTATTGAGTGGTGGTTCAGATGATATTTATATCATCAAATTGCATGAACAGCTGTCAGGAATGAACTAGATTAATTAAATAAAGGGTTTTATCAATTTCATACAAGTCATTTATAAATCACAATTACGGTAAGGATTAATAACACGATATTATTTATTTTCATTTAAATTACCTTTACTCATCATTAAGAAAAACTAGCAAAGTAGTGTAATCACTGTTTGAACTAAAGGAACCTCTTCTTCGTTGTTAAAACAAACATCAATTTCGCCATCCTCGTTGACAAAATCACACTTATCGACGTTTCGAAAGTGAGACTTCTCTGACGTGAGATGTACGTGTGTATATACAGTCGTGCTTATTATCGCTGTGCTAAACATTATCTCCAATCAGAGATCGATCACGCTTGTTTTTATATTAAAAAAAATATTGCTAAACCTTAATTTTGATCTAATTAATGACCGATTAGTAGTGGAATTGTATGCACTTCTTTCCCTACATGCGAGTGCAAACAGTGTTCGATTAACAAAATTATATACTGTTAAATGTGAGATGACCAATATTTGTTACACATTTAGAACTGACAGATTTGTACAAAGTGAATGACGGCCAGTTAAAGTGTTTTTGTGTTTGTTTGTTCCTGGGAAAAGGTAAAACATTCTAAATTTTAGTCAGTTGTACCAAAGTCGGAGTTTTACACTAATGATTACGTCAAGTTCTAATATCAGGGAGACAGGTATATTAAGTTAAAGTTATCTGAGGTAAAATAAAATAAAAAATTCTGAAACCCTCAAAAAGATTTTACATCTAATTCAGAGTCCAGAGAAAGAATACTTAACAAAAGTGCTAGTCGCCGAGAGTAAGTCCAAAATTTCGTTCAGGAACAGTTGGTTTTGAAATTGTCTCATGGGATTAATTGTGGAGTTGAACGGATCGACGACGGTAGTGAATAGACGGGAGCCTAACTTCCTCCGCACTAGACAGGAACAACAAACAGCAGACGTACTGGTTTGAGAGGGAAAACGTCACTTGTTTTGCATTCTTCATCCAACATGTCGCGGAATGCCGAAGTACGGCGGTCGTGTCCATTTCTGCTAATGGGAGGTGAACGCACGAGAGCCAGATCAAGTGGAGTTCCCAGCGTCCCTTGACTTGCCATGCTCTTCAGTAGCCAACTGTGACCCGCTTTCACCCTTTTAACACATGCAAGGGCACGAACGGTCATTAATAGCCAAACCTCGTATAGCTACCATGTTTCTAGCTTGATTATGTAAGTCAGTCGAATCCTAATACATGGGCATTACCAGGGTTTTATTACGGGATGTTCGTTTCTGTTCATGGTGCATCTGTCTAAGATATGTGTATACCTATATACACACACACACAAACATAAAACTGCACGAATTCGATGGTGCACAAGTTATGTTGAAATAAATATTCCTCCAAGTTTAAAAAATAAACTGGATAATATATACTTTTTACTTAACTGAAGCTCATGTGTACGTCACAATTATTGTACATAAATCCCATTTTCATAACTATTTTGCGCCCTACTATATAATTTAAAGTTGACGTAATGTTATTTAAATATTTCACTTAAAGCTCTGTATTGAATTGGCTAAGAGTATGCACAGTAAACAAACAGCCAATAGGATTTTGCAGCGTGGTTAGATGCCCCAGCGTAAATGATAACATTGTTTCAACGTTGTTCTTTCCTGGAGCGGGTTTTTATAAATCATTTGGTGAAAATAATTCAAGTCCAGCAAATGTAACGCAAACAAGCTAGTTTATTTCATCCTTAACATTTGCCATAGGCTACTTTCACTTATACGGAGTTGAAGGTCTAAGTTCATAAAATACGTTTTAATTTACAACAGAAATTTACTCGCTAATGTTATTAACGTACAAATATACTTACTTGTACAATTTCACGGCTAATCGATCGAGTAACTATATATATATATATATATACGCGATAACTAACGCTGATCTGAATATTTCACTAACTTTTTAATCATTAAACAAACTGAAAACAGACTCAATGCTTTACTGATTCTTGCACTTATAATGTGTCCTTCTTCGTAGATATTTTACAAAAATTCTCTATCATTAATATTCTAGGTATTCTAGGTCTACGTTAATAAATTTTCTAAATCTAGTATCATCTTGTGTTATCAGATCTCTTAAGAAAACAAAATTAAGAAACTGAAAATACAGCTTACAACACTACCCCTTCTTAGATTGTGAGGTCTCTTGAATAAATTTAATACAAAAAATAATAAATAAATAAAACACTACACAACAAGTGCTTTTGACGGTTTTTTTTTCTTCCGAGGCCCATGGTATGCAGAGGAAATGACTTCTTGTACCTTATCTTCACCGGCTGCCCTGTCACTGAGGAAATCTTCCTAGGTAGGTGATCTAGTAAATTCCCTAACAGCTCAATCCTTGGTGATCATCTGGGAGCAGTTTCGTCAGGAACCCTTGGTTCTACAGTAGGTTGACTTCTCACTTGTGAATTCTTCTCTGGAATTATCCAGTTGACCATTCTCTCACAGACATACTTCCAAAGACAATCACAGTGGATGATCTTTGGCTTGGATCGACTGTCCCTCTAGATTCTGTTGACTACTAATAATTGCCAATAACTTATAGTACGAGTATTTCTCTTTTTGGTGGCGGTATTACCACCCTCCCTATTGTCACTGGAAGTTCCAACTTTGGTGCAGGAAATTTCTTTGTAATATATGGGGATTTCCTGGTCATATACTGTGAAGCTACTTGGAGCTAGCCCAACCTCATGAAGTTAGTTCCCAATTATGCACTCTTCCTTGATGTCAATTACCCACACTTCATGAGGTATAGAAAAGTTTTCTACAGTAAGGGTAACTTCCAACTTCTCTTTTGCTGAACTTTACGTCCACTTGCTGTTTGCATTGATATCTTTTCTTTCTTCATCTCTGAAAGCAATTTCTCACCTTTCATTAACAAATTAGGTCAAACTATTGTAGCTGCAGAACCAGTATCAGTCATCATACTGCTAGGTTTTCTATCAATAAACCTATGGACTTATGGGTTTACTGATGGATTTCCTCAAAAATAACTTCTTATCTCATATGAGGCAGATGGAGTATTCTCAGCTGAATTTGCCCATAACTTTAATTAATTCCTCTCTTATTCACGTCTTGTTAACTTTTTGTTTTTCCTTGGATGTAGTTGGGTTCTGACTCCTTGGCTTAACAACAGCTGTTGATTCCTTGCCATCTCGGATGTAATGGCCATATTTTCACAGTTATAACAGTTCCCTCTTTCTCGTATCCTCTGGGAGTTCTTACTCAATAAAGGTTTCAATCTAAAATTCCATGCAATACGTCTTTTCAAGTTACGCTTTAAACACTTATTTTCATATTCTCTATTTCTTACATTTTGTGTAACTAGCAGTCTAATAATTTCAGTTCTTCTAGAGTATCGTAAGAGGAAGTTGATGTTTCAGTACAACAGGATCTAATGAACCTGTAACTTCTAAATGGTGCTTTTAGTAGTTTGTCCATTGCCAACTTTATATAATATCTTATGGATGTACACCTACTTTACTTCAGCTTAATTCTCACATTCTTGTATGTTAATGCATCTATAAACTGGTCACGTGCCAACGAATCCCTCATTTCACAAGGATCATCCAAGTAAGACAATTGGTTTAGCCTTTCCACATCTGCATATTTGGCTAAGGTCTCTTCTTTCCTCTGTATCCTGTTCCGGAACTTTGCTCTGGATACTTTTACTGGTGTATAACTATGAACCAGTTGGATAAAGCAAGAACCTGTCCTTGATAGTTGTTACGGCTCTTATCTGGAAGGTTATTTAGTATCGTTAAAACTGAACAATGAGCAGCATGATGAATAGCTTGTTGTTCATTATTCCATCTGTTCACTCTGGAAATGATCACACATTGAATCTTGTATACCTCCCATTGTACCTCTCCATCATAGTCCATTGGTTTCTCATTTGTTAATGTTGATCTGGTCAGCTAAATTCAGGAGCTATATTTGGTAGTGTCATGGCTAGAGTAGTCCAGAAATGTTCGGCAATAATCGATGATACACCAATAGTGGTAATACATGTGGTCCAAATAAGTTCACCAATTAAATATTTCGTAGTAAATGATGTTTTAGGGTTAAAATTTTGAACACATGCAGAAAGAGGTGTGGTTAGTTTAATCTTTGCATTTAATAATTCATTTTCCAGATGTTTTATTCTGCCATAAATACTCTTTTCTATCTCGTGTATGTTTTTCTTTACTTTGTTCATCTGTTTTTTTTTTTGTACTTCTTCGATTTTGTCATTACAGCTTCTCTGTACTTCTTCGGTTTTGTTGTTGTAATTTCAATGTATATCTCCAATAGCTTCATCGATCTTGTCTTCAAACAGACTTAATTTTGGTTTTAATTCTTTTTTAAATAGTATGTCTCTTCCTGTTAACGCCTCTCTTAAATTCCTGTGTCTTACCTCTTGGTCTTCTTTTAATTTCATGTCACGTTCTTCTTATTTTCGGTCATTTCCTTCTTGTTCTTTCAATTTTTTGTCTCATTCCTCTAAATTTTGGCCTCTTTGTTGTTGATTTTCTTCTAATCTTCTGTTTTGATCTTCTAATTTTTTATCTTTTGGTTTTTGGTCTTCTCTTAATTTTCTTTCTATTTCTTCTTGACATTCTTTTAATTGTTTCACCAATTCCAACAAAACTTCGATCTCGCTTCTAGATCTGGTTTTCATGTTGAAATTGGGTCAAGTTACATTTTGTTTACACCAAAGTAATCCCCTTCTGACACCAAATATTGTAACGTTGTTCTTTACTTGGTCTTCTTTTATTTTTTATTTCTTCTTGACTTTCTATTAATTATTTCATCATCTCTAACAAAGCTTTGATCTTGCTTTTAGATCTGGTTTTCCTGTTGAAATTGAGTCAAGTTGCATTTTTTCCCTCAAAATAATCCCACTTCTGACACCAATTATTGTAACGTTGTTTTTCATTGGGCGGGTTCTTTTAAATTATTTAGTGAAAATAATTCGCAGTCTAGTCCACGTAATGAAAACAAATGAATTTATTCCTTCCTTAAGATTTGCCAGAGGCTACTTTCACTTGTACATAGTTGTAGATCTAGGTTCACAAGATACTTTCCATTTTAAATATAAATTTTCTCACTAATGGTGTTATGAATAACGTACACGTAAATTTACTTGTGCAGTTTCACGGCTAATCTATTGAGGAACTGAATAGACGCGATAATTAACACTGATCTGAATACTTCACTAACTCTCCAACCACTGAATAACTGAAAACTAAGTCAGTGTGTCACTATTTCTTGTATTTCGTAAAGTATCTCAGTCATCAACATTCCAGGTATCGACTACTTTTATAAATTTTCTATATCTAGCGTGATCATCATGTTAGTAGTTATCCCTTGAAAAAAGTTAAATTAAAACATTGAAAATATAGCTTACAACAATATGAAGGATTTATCCTAGTCATAACATGATTTTAAAGTATGACGTTTACCTGGTCAGAACGGTGTAGAATGGTATAGTATTTGCCCATTCACATTGTACTGAGAAAGTGGACCCATAGCCATTCAGTATGTATATGTTGTATATTTATACGGAGGATATTATTTTTGCTGTAAGCTTGTAAGTAGACATGACGATACCTGGAACTAATGCTTGTTTATGATCCAAAATAGGGTTAGTTCGCCTCCCTTTCTGGCGGCAACTCTTTGTTACATAAAATTATAAATATTGTACATAAACAAACTACCCAAATAACGTTATATGTCCGATAAATATTTGTCTTCATTTTTCTTCTTACTACAGCGCAAGGTTACCAACTATAAACAGACAACACTTTTCATTCCATTATAGTAGGCACGGCATGGCCGGGTGGTTAGGGCGTTCGACTCACAATCTGAGGGTCGCGGGTTTGAATCCCCGTCA